ATTCCGTTTCTCCTGCTGTCTATCCATCAAATGACTCCACCTTAATAGCTCTACTGCCCAGTCTAATCTAATGCAGTGGTCAGTCTCATGGTGCCTGCTGGCTCCTGTCCATCTCATCTTCTCAAATGGATGACCACACACTCTTCCACCCTGCTGTACCTTCTCTTCCTTTGCTGTTTCCCTTTTTTCCTCATGGTTAGTGGTCGTGTCCTGTGAGTGGCGAGCTGCTCGTCAGTTCACAACGCAGCATCTTGTCTTGGACTAGCATGGCTTCTCTCTACCTTGTAGACACTCTATAAAAGTTGGCTTAATAGTGTGCATAACATTAGCGCAGCACTATAGATTTTCTTGTCAAGGAGTGTTGGCAGTGCTCTCCTTTGGGTATTTGAAAGCTAATATGTGAGATGCTATTTGGTGGAGCAGGGTGGTGCAGAGCGGCAATGGGGAGACAGCTCTTCAACTTTAGGACACATATTGAAGTTGGCATGTTTCTACCTTCAAATAAACAGTGGACCCTGTAGCATTAGTATAATGAAGTACCTCTTTACCTCAAGTAAGTTAACCTCAAATAAAATCCTTCTCAATTATTATGGCAGACATCTCTTTTTAGAAAGTCTTTGTTTGATCCTTTGGAAACATAACCATGTTATAAAAATCTTTTGTTTGTTATGTACTGTGTGTGGGTGTCTTCTTTTGCAGAGACCGACAGGATGAAAGTAATCAGCGCTGCAGTGCTTAGCGTCATGTTCTGCACTGGTAAGCACAAACATAATCAGCCACTTGGGAATAAATGAATGTCTGAAACAGACTTCCTGTGAAACCAAATTTGCTTCAACTTAATAATTAGCATAAATTCTGTGAAAACCGCACCATAGAAACTAAATTAGTTTGTGATCTGTTGCTGCTATCTACTGTGATTACTGCTTTCTTTGCTTTCCTTAAGAGTCGTACTGTGTCTACATCGTCTATTTTTAGCTGCCGTTGTGTGAGACATTTACATTTCTAAAGCTCTGATACTTTTTGCAAAGTTGTGTTTCACTTAAAACAAATGAACTCTGACTTATTTAGAGATCTTGGTTAAAATCAGCAGCCAGCTAGAAAAAAACGGTAGTTTAAAATGAACTCCTCTCTTTCTTTCACAGTTGTATCAGCATCTCTACGAGGTAAAATTGCATGTTTGGTTTTATTGTAATGAGTAAAGATACAGAAATAGTGTGACCAGGTTCAGATTCAGGCAGGTTGTCTGTCATAGCTAATAAAATATCTTGTCTGCTTCGACCAGTCAAACAGGAGCACAGGACCGCGTTCTTTGGGGAGGACGTTCACATCGATGTCCCGCCTGGAAACGTCAGTGAGGTTGTGTTCAAACCCAGGACCAATCGTTCCTCTGAGGTGGTTCTGATGCGAGCGGGCCAGGTGGTGAACCCGCGGGGCCACTTCAACTCTCTGGGCCACCTGGTGCTGGAGGATGTGCAGGAGGAGGATGAAGGCGTGTACGTCATCAGAGGCGCCAGCGCGCCCGGCACAACCAAGCAGCTCATCCTCACGGTCAGGGGTAAGCTGTCTGCTGAAGGGGAGTGTGTTAGAAAGTCTTTACCAGCTTGCAACAAGCTCATCCTCACGGTCAGGGGTAAGCTTTCTGCTGAGGGGAGTGTGTTGGAAAGTCTTTACCAGCTTGCAACGTGTCTAAAGTCACTGTGTTGGCAGTGCATCTTTAGAAAACTGGTTTGCTGGGTAGGAACAAGAGGTTGGGTCCTGATAAATAAACGTACAGATTCTGTGTATAGTCCCAGAGTACAACAGTGGAAGGAGTTACAAACCTCGTTCAGCAGCTCTAATCTCTGCTATGGACACACAGCAATAGAAAGTTCTATCAAGATCTGGAGACTCAGAGTTAAAGAACCATACAACTCTTTCATCACTGATGCTCTGCTCAACAACAATCCTACTTTTGACTTTGTTTCCTCTCATGTTATAATCAGACTGTGCTGTGGAGAAAGTGGTAAAGTACGGAGAGACTTACTACATCCACCTCAACCATGTGGAAGGCCCCATCACCCTGGAGTTCAGGTACGATCAGGAAAATCTGTCGCCCATATTCAACATGGAGACATGTTTATTACAGATTGTGTAGCAGTTTTAGCTTCAGGTAGATGCTGTATATGCATGGCATCTGTTAAAGTGCTTCTCCTTAAATGAAATAAAACTAATGAACACACAGGACAGAAAAATACTGCAGCTCCTCCAACTATTCAAACCTTTGGCCATCTCACAGCAGGTGTTTTCAGTCAGCAGTTTGAGGCACACACCTGCGCCGACATCACTGACTAGACAGAGCTGGATTAATACTGATTGCTCCAGTGTAAGTCTGGGTGACATCTGTGCTCTGTTTGATTTCTGGCCTTGTTAAGGCCCAGTGTCGTTCAGGCCAACCAGACGGAGATACAGCACAGCACAGAGCCTCCTCCCATGGTGCTGTACAACCAGACGACAGTGATGGGGGAGGAATATGTGGGACGGCTGAGTGTGACGGAGCAACGAGTGACTCTGCACTCGGTCAGGATGAAGGACGAGGGCAGCTTTACAGTGCTGGACCGCGAGGGCAAAGTCAGGAGGAGGAACTGCCTGAATGTCAGAGGTGAAGAACGCTTTGCTGCATAAAGTGTGACTGACCCATCAGTCGCATGTGCATCTGTTGTTATTCTCCAGCTGCTGTGCACCTGAGTGTGTCTGATTTAAGTGCAGTGCTGATGTAGGGCTGCATTTAAATTGCTGAGAAACATGCCGAGTCAGCTCTGTGATAGAAACACTAAGTGTTAGTTGTCGACACCTCTGTCATCGACAGACCAACAGCATTAGGCTTTTTGTGTTTCTTTCACTGCAAATGTTCGTCACTTTCTACATGATCTTATTCTTCCTGATGCCTTAATCTTGAGAAAGGTTCTAAATCTTTATTTAATGTATGTAAAATGAGGTTAAACCTGCCTTTAGGGACACCAGGCTGCAGCAGGAAAGAGTAGGATGGAGATAAAAATATACGAGGACCACATTTACTTTAATGAAGGTCATGGAACAAGATGTTATAACTGAAGACTGAGGTACACCGGCTTCTGTGTGCTAATAGGACATTGGGCAGTGTGTTTTAATTATCACCATTTAATGTCAATGCAGCTAAGGCTGGTGGGAATACTGAGTTGCAGACCTTTGGCCAAAAGGAACAAACTGAAATTTTGATTTGATGATGGCTAGCATCATTAGCTGTAGGTGTTCATGAATAAGTGAAAGGATATTTGCTAGAATCTGAGAAGTCCAGCTTCTAAAAGGCTCCGATCAATAGAAACTCTACCAATATATATAATCACACTTGTATACTGTACTCTCTACATTGTTTCTCCTTTTGGTCCTCCAGAGCACCAGAACTTTATGCAGCTGCCCTATGGAGAAAACCTGAAGGTGAAACTCTACACGCACCATTCCAACGTTAACATCGTCTACAGGTCCAAATCAGACAATCAGGACCGGGTCATCATGGACCAGGGGGTTCTAGTGATGCCGCTGGACCCTCAGCTGGAGGGCAGGCTGAGTGTGGAGGGCTCGGAGCTCATCATGAAGAAGGTCCACGTGGCTGATGCCGGTGTCTTCAAAGTGACCGACCTGGCTGGGTTTCCTGTGGCTCACATCTACATAGACGTGGACGGTAAGAGAAAAGACACATTTAACTGATCGACAAACCGAATGTGCATCTGGAGCTAACAGGAGTGACAACCTGAGCAGCATCAGTTTACTAGCAAACAAAAATAAACAGTGATTTCTAGTGTAAATAGCCTCTAACGAGTCATTAAAAGGGTTTACATCTGTGGTATAATGAAGTGCAACACAACAGCCAAACATGTAATTACTGTATATGCACACAGCTGACACCTCCTGCGTGTGTGTGCCAACAAAGCTTATGTGCAGTGATTCAGAGTCTTTCTGAAGCAAATAGATCACGAGTGTCAGAGGATAAAGAGCAGAGACATCTTTTATAAGCATGGTCTTCTGATTTGGCAATGAGCTCCTATAATGTTGCTCCAGATCAGAAATCACTTCACAGAGTAGTTACACAGCAAAGTGTACTTACTCAGGAGACCTTTCCCAGTTTGAAGGAACATTCTGCACTTACACAAGGTTTATTACTTGCTGTTTTCATTCTCTCCTGGTCTTGCTCTCAGCCTACAAGCTGCCTTCCCTGACTGTGGCCATCCTCTCCCTGCTGGGCCTCATCGCCTTCATGCTGCTCGTGTGCCTGCTGTCCTGTCTCCATAAAGTGCACAAGAGGAACGAAAAGAACAAGAAGCTGCTGCTCATTGCTCAGCGGGCCGGCAAGGGAGAAGGCGAGGCTTTCAGACAGGTAACACCCACCTAGTGCATTTACATTAAGCTGCATTTC